GGACATAGTCACGGATGAGAGTCATTGCTTGCGAGCTCTGGACCCAAAAAAAAAGGGCACCTTTGACATCACGAACACTTGTTGTTTGCGCGCCGGTAGCCCACGGAAATGGGGCATGGAAACACCGGATCTGCAGCTTGTGCGCCGGTAGCCCACAGAAACGGGGCATGGAAACACCGGATCTGCAATCACTTCAATCACTGAAACAAAACAGAAACCGATTCGGTCTTGGCCGGGCATAAAATTCTGGCAAACGAACTACTTCACGCTACTCCTGGCGGCGCCGCTAGCATCTGCTTGCGGGCTTCCAGCCAACAAGCAAAAACGGCATTGCAAAATGCAGCCGTGTAGGCAGCTGAATCCGCCAAGTGCGGTCCTCCCTGCCACCCTTTCTCACCGGACGGACGAGTGCAAGTCGTGTAATATTGCTTTGGCTTGGAGCGGCGTAAGTTCCGCTTCCGCAAACGCTCCTGAGGCTCTTTTGGCGCAAAGGCTCCCAGCCCAACCGCCGCACACCAAAAAGATGCCCAAAAAAAAACAATTCAAAACAGTTGTTCCAGTAGTTCTATTTTTGTCAATTCTAATCCAGCTCCTTGATGCGTAACCTGTCCTTCTTCTTCAGGACCCGTGCCAACTTCTTGCTAGACCTGTCGGAAAAAAAACTCATAATCCGCCGATGCCGGTATATCTCAGACAAAAATCTGGGTGTGTTTTAGGAATGTTTGGTGCTGGGATTCTAGTTGGAACCGCGTATGACCGGCGGCATCTTAGGCCACGACGCCATGTTGGTCAGCAAATGTGTCTGCTTGGCTAGGTCGTGGTTGAAGAAACCCATGTACGTCAAAACTATGATCCTCAAGGCATCGACGCTGACCGGGGCCCACACACACCCAAAAAAAAACATAAATCCTCCATGTAGAAAAACAAAAACCTCTATAAAATCAGAACACCCTACATCCCCAGCCATATTATCAGACTATAGAATTGAAACCACTGTTTCAACCCAAAGGTGTCATGATTTTATAGACATAAATGGAGCTCTCCAAAAACCCACTGGGGTTGCTACGTGTCTTCCATTGTGCGCTTTAACAAAAGAAAAACACACCTCTATAGATTCAGATACCTGCTTGAACATGGTTGAACATACTTGAACAATGCCCCAATGTTCTCCAATAGAATATAAATCCTCCATGTAGAAAAACAAAAATCTCTATAAAATCAGAACATCATACATCCCCTGCCATATTATCAGACTGTAGAATTGAGACCCCTGCTTCAACCCCAAGGTGTCATGATTTTATAGACATAAATGGAGCTCTCCAAAAAAAAACATACGTGTCTTCCATTGTGCGCTTTAACAATAGAAAAACACCTCTATAGATTCAGAAACCTGATTGAACATGGTTGAACAATATTATCCATAGAATATAACTACTTCCAACCTCTTTGGGGAAGAGTCATGGAACACCTTGCCAATTCAAAGGAATGACATGGTGCAACATGTATGATATGTTTGATGTTTCTTTTTTATCATGTATGTGTGTTTTGGTGTGCCTTTTCTGCTGCCAATGCGCTGAAATATCATTATAAAATATATTAAAACATTATAAAATCAGGGACCCAGATCAGTGGAAGTACTATAAAATCAGATTCTAGGTGCCAATTAGGGATCATTCCAGCCACAACCTGCAGATTTTGCATCTGTGGAAGCTTGAAGCCATAGCTTTGAGCAGGCTGCTCAAACACGAAAAAGATCTTCCGCTCGAGATGCGCCAATGCTTCCATTGCAATTCCCTCAGATCATGGGAATTTTGAAGAT